GATACTGTATCATTTGGCTTAAAAATTATTAAGTCCATTTTGATGTTGTTGTAGATTTACTGCTATTATTTCATGGACGGTCTTTGCAATTTCAAAACATCAGTTAAGTTATTGTATAAAAATAAGAAGTTGTATGATTGCCAATGAGGCAACTCTCTACCAGAGACCAAATGATGTAGAAGTTAACAACTATAGGTCACCATACGGCCTTCAACAATGAGCAAATTCCATACCACATAGTTAGCTATAAAAGACCCCGAAATGACAAAGGTAGAATAACTCAAACGAGAATATGTAGTCATGAACAAAAGGAACTATTCACACAAATTTTATTACATAGTGAAGTTTGAGCAAAACCCATCAGTAGCTTTTTAAATAATTCCTACATCATTATACCTGTAAAATTTGATGCTGACAACATCTAGCTTATGGCATATTACAGGCATATCAAGGCAAAAACATGTCAGTTTTCTCGTTTAAATTGTTTAACATTTATCATGTCAGGGACTTTTATAGCTTGATATTTGGTATGGGTTTTGCCCATAGTTGGTTGCTGTACAGTGAGCTATAGTTGCTAACTTCTACGTCATTTCATCTATTGTGGAAAACTGTCTCATTGACAATCCTATCACAACTTCTTATTGTCATAATGTGATGTGAATTTGAACCCTACTTTTTAGAAGACACACACACTGAGCAGTGTGTCCCAAGGAAAACATGTTGTCCTACTTTGACATATTGTTCTGACCAGTCTTAGCTATTACTTCAAAGTCCATCAAGGTAAAATTTGAAAGTTTATATAATGATATAACATTTGAATGAAATCAGGATTATTATATATAACTTTCTCTTACAACATTTAGTAAACATTTGTCTAGTTCTAGAGAAGATAAAAATTGGATTTTCAGTAGGGTTCATTGGGAATTTGTGTGACATTATTGTTGTCATGAATGCAAAGACATCAGCACTAGATATCGAATCACTTCTTCACTAAAAAGGACACTATAATCTTGCTAAGAGTGGTTCAAATTGGGCCCAATGGTTTCAGAGGAGGATATGCAAATGTGAAAGGAAGGACCAAAACTAAGCGATAGCAATACCCTACACTGCACTTTAATCGAAGTTTAAATTTATTAAGTTTCAAGATACAATATTCACTACAAAGACTGTTTAATGAAGTATAAAAACAGATATCTAAATTTTAACACACATAAATGTTTGCTTCAATAAGAGATATAACTTTCAGTCCTATTTGTTTTTTTCTTGGACATTTCACTGATCCTGTCCATTTCTGGTGATTTGTTTTGAGTGATCATAACATTTCAGACACCCATGTCTTGTTTATCTAGTTCACCTGCAAAATCATAGATTTGGTTTTTAAAAAGGAGAGGCAATTATTTTCTTTAATTCTTGTTTCAACCTTTTTTTTTATTAAATCCCCCATTTTTTTTTAACTAATTTGCTAAATATATCAAAATTCAATAACATCTAAAATTCAACATAACAGAAAGTTTGTCATTCAGACTAAGGGAGATAAATCTAGTTTAAAAAGTGATAAGCCATTATCAATACCACAATCAGGAAATTCATTTGTCATGTTTGTCAGAACACAATATTTTCATTATTTTATAGTTTTAATTAGGCTTGGTTTAATTAAATATATTATTTTTGTCTGATTTTCACTGATAGTGATGATAAAGGTCAATTAAGCCACCCTTAAAAAAGTTTGTTTGATGTTGCCAACCCATGCCTCAGAGGGATGGGTGAGTAGGTATTTTTTTTTTTTTTTTTTTGGCCAACAACATAAGTTACATGTTTAAGAAAAGAAAACGATGTAAGAGCAGGATAAAATATTTAAAAACAAAATTTATAACGATTTGTGTCATAAATTTTTTTTCGGGTAGGACGCTTTTGAAGTAGGTATGCAACATCAACCAATTTAAATTTTAATTTTGGCCTTAACATAAAATGTTTGACCCTAAGGAGGTAGACCAAAAATACTGTGGAAAAATCCATAAACTAAGGTCGACTTAGTGAGATAGCATGACAGACTTTCCAAAATTCAATACCTTATCTTAAGTGCAAATGTTCACCAAATACTGTTGAATGAGTAAAACTCCAATCATAGAGGTAGACAACTTGTAATGCAAAAAAGATTTCAAAATTTCACTGCCTTTTTCCCGTTTTCATTAAAGAGTTATTCCAAAAATATCTGTAGTGGCCACTGAAGCCCTCATCATAGATAAACTAGAATGCATACATTGTAATGATAAGCATAACCCAACTTGTAGTTCAAAGTATCTGGAAGTAGGAAGTAGGCATAAAGTGCACATCCATTACTACTCATCACAGTTCGGCTGCTGACCAAATATGAAGTCAGTCTGAAGAAATGTTTGACAAAAAAAAAGTTCATTCAACATATTGAAAAATTCAAAGCATCATCAGACACAAAGTAGTGGTGGGACAGATTGGAATAGTGCAAAATTGTTAAAACTTATCACAGTTGCTGACTAAATATGAAGTCATTCTGTTCTGTAGCATCAAGACAAAAATAACAAAAAATAAAAATTGTTAGACGAACGGAAGAAATGACATGACAAGGTGATTGCAAATTAACCCTCACATCTATAGTGGGGTTACAAAAACATACAGTAATATTTTTAAAACTCCCATTCATAAATACTATATGAATTATTAATTAATCTGACATTTAGATAATATACTTATGTTTGTGTGACATAAATGCATTATTTTTATGAATATATAGACTGGTATAATTTTCAAATTCATAGTCATGATGACCCCAAAAAGGACAGTTTTTCAACTTATCTTTATAGTTTGTTCTTATGTTGTACTGTTACACCACTGTCCCAGGTTAGGAGGAGGGTTGGCGCCTTCAAACGAGTATAACAACGCCACATTCTGTATGTGCCTGTCTCAAGTCAGGAGCCGGTAATTCAGTGGCTGCATGTTGTTTATTGCTGTGTAACATATTTGTTTTTCGTTCATTATTTTGTACATAATTTAGGCCGTTAGTTTTCTCGTTTGAATTGTTTTACATTTGTCATTTCAGGGCCTTTTATAGCTGACTGTGCGGTATGGGCTTTACTCATCGTGAAGGCCATACAGTGACCTTTAGTTGTTAATTTCTGTGTCATTTGGTCTCTTGTGGAGAGTTGTCTCATTTGCAATCATACCACATCTTCTTTTTATAGATAAGAGTTTACACATCCATTGGCAAATACTTCATGAATATCAAGGAAAATGAAATAAATCTGAACCAAGCAAACTGTTAGTAGTTCATATGCTAGCAGTCATTCATAATGCTGGATGCTTTATATATATAAAAGATAAGAAGCAGCAAATATTACTTTTGAAGTCATTTGTTTAATCCAATATAAAAATAAGGAGATGTGACTACCAAGACCACCAAACTTGAGGCAAGCACATGGCACCCTCAAGGTGGCCTTTCTAAGAGTAACTGTTTTAATTGTAAGGGGGGATGCTTTTTAACAAATTTATGCCCCCCCCCCCGTAAAAAAAACAACCAAAAAAAACATCAGCTGATTGCCCAATGATGTTTGTCGTCAATATTACCCTCAATGGACAATACAAAAAGTGATTGTCTTATATTTGATTTGAAATAATGAATCATTCGTTTCAAAGAGCTCTGCATGAATCATGTTTAATCACTTTTTAAAATGAAATTAGATTCAAGTTTTTTTTTATTTTTCCACATGTAAAAATATTAATTTTAGTTTCTATGTAAACAAACATCCATGTTTTGGAATGTTTGTTATAAATGTTCAATATACAGCTCACGCTTTAAATATAAAAATTTAACTGACTCGAGTGGAGAAATATCGTAATACACGAGTTATAGTGCTGGAATCTGTTTCTCTAATGATTTTTATCCTTTCTTTTCAAAGATTTGCAGAAAGTTGTGTTCTTTATACGTGACGTCATCAGGCATGGTGGCCTTTTTCAGGACATCACAATAGGAAATTCAGAAGAAATCAAAAAACATTTAATGTCATAATTAAGTTTCCACCAATCATTTGCTGAGAACAAATTTTTCACTAGTGAGGATAAATATTTTTCTCACTCAGCTCAAGAAATGTGAAAATAGCACAAAAATTAGACAAACAGCTTTTCAAATGGTTAAAGTGATTTAATTACTAATAGTTTTATTTATAATTGGTCTATAATGTGCATGAACTGACCTCGAATTAAGGTAAAACATTAAGTAAATACATAGTCTTTGTAAGAAAGAATGGTGGGTCTTGTTGACAAAAATTCAAAGTTAGTGATTTTTAAAGTAACAACTTTTTGGAAGCCATTGCAATCCCTGGTTGTATAAAATTATCATCATGTCTCTCACGTATGAACTTCACTAGTCACAAAAACTGATCTCAAAGTAATTTGACCATTGTAGATTTGTGTTGTATTGAACATATAGACTGATTGATTGATTGTTGGTTGCTTAACAACCAGTGGCAAATATTTTACGATGTTCAAGGAAATATAATGTTGTACCAGAATGGATATTAGCGCCAATAATATTATGAAAATCATACCCAAAGCCATTCAAGCATAAGATATAAGCCATAGGGAACAATGATTATGGAACTACCAATATATCACAATGGGTTACAGAAAAAAAAAATTACGAAAACGAAAAACCAAAACAAAAGCATTCAATCATAAAATTTTTGAACTGTGTTGTATTCCAAGGATTTTCATGGTAAAATAGGGGTAATACACCAAAATAAACGTGCTGAAAGATCCAAAATGCAGTCACTGCCAGAACTTCATAATAAATAACAGATAGAGAAGTATAAAAACATTAATACTGACATACAAGTTATAGTATATGTGTAGTTGACAATCAATATGTGAGTTATATAAATTGTGTCATTTGCCATACATATGTGTGTTATATAATGTGTGTAATTTGCCATACATATGTGTGTTATATAATGTGTGTAATTTGCCATTACCTTCCATTTTTGGGTATATCACAGTTAGATGATTTATTACAAGGAAAGTTTCCTGAGTCCGCTGATTGATAAGACATAGCGTCAAAGTTTGTTACTGATTTCATATCCATATCTGAAAAATTAAGGGAGATAATTACATTTCATATTCATATCTGAAAAATCAAGGGATATAATTACATTTCATATCCATATCTGAAAAATCAAGGGAGATAATTACATTTCATATTCATATCTGAAAAATCAAGGGAGATCATTACATTTCATATTCATATCTGAAAAAATCAAGGGAGATCATTACATTTCATATTCATATCTGAAAAATCAAGGGAGATCATTACATTTCATATCCATTTTGAAAAATTCAAGAGAGATAATTAGTTACTGAGTTCATGTGCATATCTGGAAAATCAAGGGAGATTAAGTTTGGTACTGATTTCATATCCATATGGAATAGGATCCCAGTTACTGCAACCAGTCCAGTACCAATGAATGTAGTTCTTAAAAAAAAAACTTAAAATGGTGTGCAGTGATATTATTACATAAGTATGTAGATTTATTTGAAAGGGTATGCTTTCTAGTTTGAATTTCTGTAAAAAATTTGATCAATTTTAAATTTAATCAGGCGTTAGTACATAGAGTAAATTTCCTAAATTCTAGCCTTTAATCTCCTCCAGAAGTAGACTGACTGAACCTGTTGTCAATCAAAACAGTGTTTTGCAATGAAATGCGGGTCATGAGGCACCAAGATTGTGCTAAGAAACCTTGAAAAAATGCCTAACATGAAACAGAAGTCCTAAGGTGGCTACCAAAATAATTTATTGAACAGCATCACATTTACTTACTGTGATTTTCAATGCACTTGAAGGGTGAAAATAACTGAGGGTCCCCGTTTCATATCAAGAAAGATAATTATAATGTTATTAATTTTTCACCATAAACTTCCACAATTACTTTGCTTATGATATGTATATTATAGTTCTCCAAAGTTATTTTAAAATTACATGTGCTTAGATTCTATGTGGGTTTTTTTTAAGGATATTAGGTACAAAGTGGTTATTTAAGCATTTTTAATTTGTTTGTGATCAAACCTTACAAGAAAACATGATTTATAGCAGTAAAATGACAGATATATGTCATCATGTATAAGAATAAATTACAGATATTCCCTAAGTTGCACTTAATACACCCAGATTTGTTCACTGCATGTCCTTTTCACAAATCTATGACCACTTTTTACTATATAGTATATTTTTTTACCACCTTTTTAATTTTTCCAATACTATATACGGATCACAAGATGTTGAAGATTAATTTGCATGTCCATGATAAAAACATAATTTTTTTTTTGCTTTCATGATAAAACATAATTGTTTTTTTCTTATGAGCAATAGGCTGTAGTCTAAAAATGTACAACATCTGCTGACTTCAATAATCAATACATTACTTCATATCTTAATAAAAAAAACTGCATGGAATTTTTTTATCTAAAAGACCTTAAAGTTTTGTAATCAAAGAAAAGGCATGTATTTGTAATTATGAGTTACCTCCCTTCTTACAGAAGTTTTTTGTTTTTCTACTCAAATAATTTAAGTAACAGCAAATACAAGTAGCCTATATAAACTTGCTGTGCTGAACTTGTTTTTTGAAGGTTCTAATCTACATCAATTTTTGACAAAAAAAGAATTCTAAAATTGACTTTGATGAGGATTTTTTTAATTTCTGACAAAAATCTTTTAAATTTCCAAGGCTTCTCATACGTGTCAGATTGACGATTAATTTTAAACAGTCTCCAGATTATATAAGAAAACAAAATGCAGAGAATTAAACACAAATGATTATTTATATTTCATTTACAAAAATTATATTACAATTTAACAAAAAATTGCCTATTTTAATTTACAAACTGTTATTCTTTATTCAATCAGTATAATATGAATTTTGAAATTTTTAGAAATATTAAGGATTTTCTACCCCAAGAATAGATAACCTTAACTGCAATTGGCAAAACATTTGGAAATTTTGGGTCCTCAATCCTCTACAGCTTCGTGCTTTCTTTGGCCATTTTAACTTTTTGTCGAGCCTTCTACTTTTGTCGAAAAAGCGAGACATAGCGATCCTACATTCCGTCGGCGGCGTCGCTGTCGGCGGCGTCCACAAATATTCACTCTGTGGTTAAAGTTTTTGAAATTTTAATAACTTTCTTAAACTATCCTGGATTTCTACCAAACTTGGACAGAAGCTTGTTTATGATCATAAGATAATATTCAAAAGTAAATTTTATAAAAATAAAATTCCATTTTTTCCATATTTTACTTATAAATGGACTTAGTTTTTCTGCCAGGAAACATTACATTCACTCTGTGGTTAAAGTTTTTGAAATTTTAATAACTTTCTTAAACTATCCTGGATTTCTACCAAACTTGGAAAGAAGCTTGTTTATGATCATAAAATAGTATCCAGAAGTAAATTTTGTAAAAAAAATATTCCATTTTTTCCGTATTTTACCTATAAATGGACTTAGTTTTTCTGCCAGTTAACATTACGTTCACTCTGTGGTTAAAGTTTTTCAAATTTCAATAACTTTCTTAAACTATCCTGGATTTGTACCAAACTTGGACAGAAGCTTGTTTATGATTAAAAGCTAGTATCTAGGGGAAATTTTGTTAAAATTTTGTTCCATTTTTTCCGTATTTTACTTATAAATGGACTTAGTTTTTCTTTCAGTTAACATTACATACAGTCTGCAGTTTAAGTTTTTAAAACATTTATTAGATTCATAAACTATCCTGGATTTTTACCAAACTTGGACAGAAGCTACTTACAATCAAAAGATAGTATAAAGAGGAATATCTTTATTAATTTTTTTCCTCATTTTTGTTGAGCCTGCAATTAACAGCAAAAGTAGGCGAGACACTGGGTTCCGCGGAACCCTTACAAAATTTTTTATCTGAACGTCACTGTAGATGAAAGCCTTACAAAATTTTAATCCTGGTATCTATGATGTGTTTACGTATTACAAACTACAATAAATCATAAATATGCCAAAACCCAAAGCTTGATACATTTGACTATGTTTTACTTCAATTTTTCTAAAAAGAATGCTTTATGTTAAAAAAATTAAAGATCAAAATAAAGAAGTCATATATATACACTCTATTACATTCCAGCTATCACTATGGCAGATACAATAAGATCTGTGTTCCCGATTGCCAATAAAAACAATTGTTTTTACTATCAAGTACATCAGATTTTTGTCTCCAGTTTTAATTGTGATTGTAAAATAATGGATTTAACAATCTTGATTTTGATCTGTGCAACATTTCAATCTGCAGTTCCCATGGCCGATAACACATAATAATAGAGAATTCAACCTTTCGGGTATTTAGCTGAATTGTCTTAGAATGACCCTAGATCTGTCTCTGAATAAACTTCTGATGCCCATCTGCGCTAGCCAAGGGTAACCATCCAGTCCCCTTTAAGGGTTGCGATCCAGTCTCCTTCTCTCTGGAGAGGAGGGGACTGAATCGTAACCCTTGGCTAGCAAAGATGTCTGATGTCATACAACAATCATCAATATTTCAAATTGCTGGAACTTGTGTGGTTTTAAGTATTGGCAGACAAATTTGAATACAAGTGTAAATATGTCTAAAGGGTGTAATATTGACCCCCACTTCATATAAAAAAGATCAAGAAGATAAGATATAGGTCCACTATACTACAGTAATTTAATAAATGTTCCTGTCAATATCTATGGAAGGAAATGTAACGTAAACCTTGGCTAGTAAATATGAGCATCTGTTACTCTGTTGACAACAACAGCATGTCATATCATTATTTATAAATACTAAAGATTTATCATCATTTGTGGGGTATCAATTTTCGTAGATTTCGTGGGTATATACGTCAAACACGAATTAAAATGTTCAACAAAGCATTAAATTTCTATAAGCTTGTAAGTAAACTTTGGCAAAGCCACAATATCAAATATCCATAAATATTCAATTTTTCCACAATCCATGAAAATTAAATTTTCCCCTAAACTACGAAAATTGGTACCAACGAAAATAGATGAATTAACAGTATTTAAAAAAGTCAAATAATTTAACATATGAACTTACCAAACTCTCCGCTCTCTTCTCCATCACAGTCATAGAATTCATCATCGTCCGTATCATAGCACCGAGGAGGAGATTTTTTACCACCTATCGTACGCTCTAATTCATGATGTTCTGTTGCCAATGCATGTAAAGCTTCCTGCAAAACTCTGGACTTTTCCATCTCTTCTTCCAACTGTTTTTGTCTCAGCTGCAAAAAACAGAAAAGCTCTTAGAAAACAACCAGGTTTACTTACATAATCTATTTTTATCCTCAGGGGGTTTCCAAATCTGTCACCAAGCTTCTATAAAGAAACACATGTGCATAGAAATAAATAACACCTGATGACTATACTCAAATGAAAAATGCTTAAAATAAAATCAATTTGATGTACACTTCCTTCTCTCTGAGTAAGGTTAAGTGACAGCTACAGTATACATGTTTCAGAATTATAATCAGAAAAGTTTTGAAAATGCATACGAATATCAATGCATCGATCTGTTAACCTATTTCGGGTTGAAAAAATCTCTATGCAAAGCCAGTAACTGTTTGAAAATTGAGTTGATATCTTTAGAACCCTACAAAACAGACATTAATTCATCTTTTATTTCGTATCTGAATTTTCCAAAATCAATCAAAGTCTTATACATGTACATGTATATGTGCACTTGCATAAAGTCGGTTTCTATCCGATGCAGCTCATATAATACTGTATAAGTTGAGATTAAGCAAAAAGGTATGATTTCTAAATTAAGTAAAAAGGTATGAATTCTAAATTAAGTTACTAGTTACAATTTAAATACAAAAAAATTCAAATAGGTGGGTGGAGATGAAATCTACTTATGACATTTTCATCAGCCTCAGGGTTGATTTTTCAAGAGGTCCATTAAAAGTAACATAATCAGAATAGCCATCTTTGAAGGCAACACTAAGATGTCAATTATGACTGGTATAAAATACTTTTGAAAAATATATTGGAAGTTTCAACCAAACATAAAAGATAATTTTTGGCTAACTACAGACTATCCAACTCTGTATAACCAGATGGTAAGCTCCACCCTTTTATAAAAAAAATGTGACTTCTTAGTATATTTTAACACATTTAATCCTGGAATCAGGCCCTTCTCAAATAAGTGCACAAATGCCATGAATGTGTGAAATATGAGAATGCAACAATCATGGTTTAATGGTTATAAGTCTCAGAAACTTTTTCTGTTCTGATTTCCTGAGCAGTACACCCTGAAGGATGAATATTGTGCTTAGAACCAGTTAATCAATTTCAATTTTTTCAGTCTTTTATGGTTTACATCTACTTCATTTTAACTTTTGTGGATAGCGATTTCTCACTGGCAATCATACCACATCTCCTTATTTCTATATTAATGTAATCACAAAATTTTTGAACAAATATTTTCAAAATCCTCCGCAGAAAAAAACCCAATATAAAACCCCATCGTCCAGAATACTGAAAAAATGGGTAGATGTGGTATGATTGCCAATGAGACGACTATCAACCAGAGTAAAAATGAATTGGTAGCAAGCAATTATAGGCCACTGTGTCGGCTTCAACAATGAGAAAAACCTATACCATATAGTGGGCTATAAAAGTACCCAACATGAAAAATATGAAGTATTGCATAAAATATTTGCTACTGGACGAATTAGCAAACAGCAATCAATCAATAATAAAAACTGAAATCCGCTCTTTCCTCTCTTGAAAGACAACAGAGATTGAGAGCCATGATACCACCAATTAAATTTCCCTCTTAAATTTTAAAGGTGGTACAAAGAATGATTAACCATCTTCATACCTAGTATAACATTCCTCCCTATTCATATTCCAAATGATTCACATTTGAGTAGGAGGTTATATACATCAACCCCATTATTAGTCTCGTACATATTCTAACCTTTAAGTTCTTTATCATTATACTTTTTACATCCAGAAGTTTAACATGTTAAATTGCTTTATATTTTGTCAAACTACACTTTAGTTTATAATCCTACATTTATAAGCATAAATCAAGGATGTTTAGCCAAATTTCAATCTACCACAGTTATTTTATTTAAAAAAATAAATTTTGTACAATTTCCTTTCATTTCATTCTAACATTTCCTCTGTTTGTGCACATACGTTTTATTTATCTAATATAATCTTGATTAACTTAATGAATTTTGGTCTAATTATATATGAACATGTTTTTTGTTGAATTTATTATAACTCGCATGAATAACAAGAATGTGTCCATAATACACGGATTCCCCACTTGCACTATCATTTTCTATGTTCAGTGGACCGTGAAATTGGGGTAAAAACTCTAATTTGGCATTAAAATTAGAAAGATCATATCATAGGGAACATGTGTACTAAGTTTCAAGTTGATTGGATTTCAACTTCATCAAAAACTACCTTGACCTAAAAACTTTAACCTGAAGCGGGACAGACGAACGAACAGACACACAGACCAGAAAACATAATGCCCCTACTACTATCGTAGGTGGGGCATAAAAATCCTAAGTTATCAAAACAACACAAACATTTTTTCTCATTCAACTCCTTACATGTGTAAAGTCATTTCCTTCTTATTTAATTTAATTACCTTTGTTTACACACATAAATTTACAATGTATATATGTTTTAATTAATTCTTGTCCATGTATAAAACAGTAACAACATGAATGTCCCTAACATTTGTTTTCTCATTCAACTCCTCACACAATACATTTCCTTCTTATTTAATTATTACATATTACCTTTGTTTACATGCACACATAAATTTATATATTTTAATAGATTTTGGTCAAATTATACATACATGAACATGTTTATTGTTGAATTTATAACTCTCTTGAATAAAAATCATATATACTTTATCAGTCACAACACAAAGATTTTTTCTCGTTCAACATTTATATATTTCCAGTCTGCATTATTATTTACTGTTTTTCATTGGTTACTTCCTTCATTTTTTATGCTGCTGTATCATTTAAACGTCTTTAAAAAGAGTCAAACATACCCACCTACATGTAGTATTATTACTAATAAGTACATGTATATTTAAATCATATTAACTATGCCTACATGTACTTATAAATCCTTCAGACATCAAATAATCCACTATTATATACAAGTAAACTATTTTCATTATGATAAACTATTTTAATCATCAATCCATTTATTTCCCAAACACAGTTTATCATGTTATACCAGTAAACTATAGTATATTTTCAATACATACAACTATTCTAATCTTCCATCCATTTATTTTCTAAACACAGTTTATCATATTACGATTCAATTCAAAATTGCTCACCTGTAAAGGTGCACTTCCTACGTTTTACCCACATAGGGTGAATTGATAAACTATATGTGTTGATTGGTGGTAATTTCTGCCTCACAGGGACAAATAAACATGTAATTGCCGTTATTAAAGTCATTTTGTTTCTGTTCACGAGAATGTTTATTTCTGTCTACACACATACTGGTACAAGTACATTTATCAATTAACTAAATGTATACAGCAGTGGTCAGTTTGATGTTTAGAATACATTTGTAAAAGAATAATGATGAATAATGAATGACTGTTTTAAATGTCCAGCTGCAAATTAAATGCATATTCAGGACCTCAACATGTTAATGTAATATGAACATTAACCCCACTTTGTACTAGACCGACATGCTGAGTCGCATTTTTTATCCTGCTAATTCACATGTTAACAGTCTCCAGGAAGACATTATCAGACATGTCACCCTACCCAGACACATCATTCTGACTCCAAGCCAACCAGTCTTTACTCTTACTCCTTAAAGCCATGTGCTTAGCAGAGAAGCAGCAAATACCAATCTCGAAGTCTTTGGTTTGACTTGGCTGGGGTTCAAACCAACAACCTCTCGCATTCAAGGAGAACTGGCTACCACGAGGCCACTGAGGCGGTCTAGAATATAAGGTGATGTGAGATATATACATCAATGACACAGCAAGTCAACGACACAAAGAACAGAAATATATCTAGAGGTGAGCATATTATCTTCAACAACAGAAAATTGTATTCTGCAATATGATGTCATGGTCAAAATCGTCCAGAGTCTAGAGAATATCTGAAAAAATTTAAAGCAGGCTATTTACATTCTTATAATTTTCAAGTTTCCTTTTTTTTCAGTCTTTAAGACAAAAGGTAACTTTACTATCAAATAGTCAAACATCTAACAGTACGATCATGCAGTGTTCATACACAGTCAAGTCCCTTCTAAGGATATTGAATTGAAAGTCATATGATTGGACACTTCAAAGTTTACTTATGTACAAGAATCATTTTATCAACAACCAATCAATCAAACAGTTCTGACAGCAGAAAAATATGGAAAGATCCAAAAACTGTATAACAAACATGTTAGCTGCGTCGGATAGATATCGACCTTATGCAAATGAATGTCAATACATCTTTTTACCTATTTCGGGTCGAAACAATCTCTACAGAAAGTCTGTAACTGTTTGAAAATTGAGTTGTCATAAGGACCCTACAAACAGACCAAAATGCATCTTTTATTTCGTATTTGCATGTTCCATAATCAATCAAAGTCTTATATATGTACATGTATACGTGCACTTGCATAAGGTCGATTTATATCCAACGCAGCTCATGTATTTACAAAGTACATGTATAATATAAAAAAAACTTTTCATTTATCAAATTTTAATGTATGAAAGTAAATTTGTCCATAAAAATATTTGAATGAAATTAAATTTAACAAGTACAAGAATGTTGTTTAAATTTTGAACAATTCATTTCATCTTGCAATAATAATAGGTAAACTGAATAAGTTGAAAGGAGGCTAAATAAATAAATCAAATTTTCTCCAATTCATTGAGCACCTACCAGTCCTTGTTGACCTCAGAACATAAAAATCTTCCTATCAAGATAAAGCTAATAGTCAGAGAAAAGAAACTACCAATTATACATAAAAAATCTGGGCTTTTACACATCACTGAATATAACTCACTGGAATTTAAACCTCCAAAAATCAAAGTGTACAATTACAACAAAATTGAATCAATATGATAGAAAAATAAGGTATTTGATTTAATTATTGTGATACAAAGATGACTTTAAAGAGATTAATTTGTATTTGAGGACATGTGTTCCCAACAAATATTTGTAGATACTAGGCATCTATGACATTTATCAAAGTACATGTATACTGAGGACCC